CAAAAACTATATATAGATGTAACAATACAGAGACATACAATCTTACCTACTTCTCTGTTCATGGTTTTTTTGGTAGGTTTGAAATGTGTTATTATATTTTTAAGAACCACAAGATTGTAATACTTAATGTGGATGAATCATACTGGAGATTATAATATGTGGATAAGGCATGCAGTGATCGTGATATTCTAAAGTTTTAAACTTTCTTTCTTTAGATAAGGCATACAGTAATTGTAATATTTTTTTAAGTCATTGACTGTAAATATTATCTTCTTTTTTTTTTTTTTTTTTGAGAAAGTGCACAAGTTGAATTATGTTGAAAATTTGTAAAATTTTAAACCGCCAAACTTGATTCGCATCCTACCGACCAAACCGCCAATCCGCTCAATCCACATCCGCCGGATTTGGCGGACGGATGCGGATTGATTTTCTCCAATCCGCCAATCTGGCGGACGGATGGCGGATTGGAGGTTCCGTGGCCGACCGCGCGCCCCACCCTAACATTGGGTATTGACCTTATTTGCTCTTCTTCCCATCCCTGCCAACTTCCATCAGCATACATAAACCACTTCTTCATGTTGCACTTCTTCATTAGTAAACCATGCTAGATGACTAGCTTCCCTTTCATCCATGATTGCTCTAGTATGTTGCCTTCCATGGATGGAATGATCTCTTCAATGGCTCTCTTGTAATAGAACTCATTCACATAAAATTCCTCCTGTTTCACCTGATAAGGCTCAATTCCTAGGGAATTGTTTTTGACTTATCAGTTTTTGTTGCCATAAATCAGACTCTCATAATAGCAACCTCGCCAAATTTTCCATTAAATTTCTGGTATTTGTATACTTAAGCTGATCTAGTTTTACCTATTTCCAGACACTGTCCAGATTAATCCAAAAACCAATAAAATTTGCCAACAATTTAGGGCAAAGGGTTTCAGCCACTGAAAGAATAAGAAAGTGGGAGATGAAAAAAAGTAAATAAAATGGATCTTGGCACTCCTACTTTTCATTTAGGTAGGAAACAAAATTTTGTAACAATTTAAAATATTCAAGTGTCATCTAGGAACTTAATTACTCATTTTTGGGGTACTGTATCTTATGGTCCCCTAGTTATTACTGATATGCAATAGGTACTGCATCAGACAGTACTTCAACTGACAAGATGTACACTTTTGCAAAATACTGCCAAAATAACTGGAAGGCGTTCCATTATTTTTCACAGGAAATTGGAACTTCAAACACAGAAGAACTATGCCTCAACTTGAAAATGGTAGAAAAAAAAGAAAAAAAGAAAAAGGAAGCATGATATAAGTTATCCACAAACATGTAAATCAAGACAGTAACAAAACTCTTTACCGGTAACTATAACTTGATGACAACTTTGTTGCAGCCATGCTTGAAACAATAGAAGAACTGAAGTCAGCTAAACTCTCGAAAAGAAGAGGTAGAAAAACTAATATCTTCTTTGACAAAAAGAAAAGACAGTAAGTATACCTAATTAATTGAATAATTTTTTACCCATCGAAGCTAAAAAGTACAAGTCTCCCACAAGGGGAGACATTGCTAGATCTTTAACACTTTTTGTATTTTGAAAGGAAGTTTTATGGTCTTTCATTTTTGATTTTGGGGTCAGTCAGTTTAATCTAGAAAACACGTTCAAAACTGATTTATTGAACAGAAAGAGTGGAGTGTAAGTTCTGAAATAAAGGATGAAAATGTATATGTCGCAAAAATAAACTATTACTTCTTTTGACCCAAAAACTTTTACCTTCTTGAGCATATTGTGTCCCACCCATTCCCATGAAATTCCTTCTAGGCAAAAATCAGAGTTTGATAATAACAACCATATCAAAATCCTCGCACTCTCTACTGCCATCTCATGCTGTAATTGCAAAGATATCAAGATATGGAACGCATGACAAATTGAAAAAAGACATCTTCTTGGGAAGGATAATTCTAAGTGATATAACCAGTAAATGGAGAAGCAGGTGACAGCCAGAACTATAAACCTTTACCAAAAGGAAAACAACCAAATGTAGGTCTTGAAAAAGCCTTCTATAATGAAAAGGCATCTTCCTATTTATTTCCGCCTAATGAATTTGTTAACCTACAAAGGAAGCTTATTTGGATTTTGGCAGTGCCTTCAGTGCATGTTGAGCTGGCCATCAAAATGATTATCCATAACCAAACTTGCAAAGAGGAAGGGAAGGGCATTGATCGAAAGATTTCAGAAGAAAAATATTCTATCTCATTTTCGGTGCTCAGCAAAAGTTAGCTGCCCTCTCCTCATTCTCTTCCCTTCTTATCCCCTTTTCTATTTCTCTCTCTCTCTCTTCATCTCTCTCTTCCTTATTATCCACATGAATAAATATTTCTCGGATTTGAAGAAAGGGAAGTTTTCAAAAATTTTGTATCATGTCGATCGCTTCCTAAATTTAAAATTAAACTAAAAAGAAATCAAAACAGGAAATAAGGATAGAAAATTCTCAAGGCAGATTATTTTGAGCATAAACTAGTACGACAATATTGCATGGATTGAGATAAACAGGCAGCAAATCAAACAACTAAGACTTAAAGGCTTGCAAACTAACCAGTGATAAAATATACAAAAAATGCGCGGACCCCCCAGTAAACCCACCCCCACCAACCCCAGTGCCAACGTGGACATGCAGGATTGTGAAGGAAAAGAAAAAAAGAAAAAAAAAAAACTTGAAACTGGCAATGAGGCCCGTCCACGGTCACTTGGGAGTGGGGCGTGTTAACAGCTGTTGTAAAAATATAATTGGCACAAGACAAGTAGTTGAGGAAGGATGAATTGGTTTGGCCAATGTATGACAGGCTAAAACTACTAATATGTCTTATTTTATTCTCAATTGAAAAGAAGCAGCCAACTCCAAAACGTCTGTGTGTTTTTAGGGGGGTGTACGCATGGGTAATTGAGATTTCCACCCCAATGTCTTCATTCATTCTTTTCCTTTCCTTACCTTCTCTACATTTATCGTATCTCTTCTCAATGGTCTTCTCAACAAGAATGGACTCTTGGCTAAGAAGTTAACAAGTTTCAAAGTGAAGGACAATTCATCTTGTACTTGGTTTGATATATGGAGCATCGAGGGTAGAGGCATCTCAGCGGTGCAATTATATACGCTTTTCCATTGCCAGGCATGTCAACCTATACATAAGAGATTATATAGGCAGAAAACTATAACATGATTTGTTAATTTTACCATGACACTAATGAACAAAAGACACATCGTAGGCCTCAATATACCAAGCAACAAAGCAACTTATTTATGAGGAATTAGCATTATAAGTATATATTACTACAAAATGTCCAAAGGAAACCACAAAAAGACACCTCGTAACACAAAACTGCAGCGAAAGGAGCCCAATCTATCAATTCTGGTGCAAATTTTAAGCCCTGTGTAATCAAGATCAAGTCTAAATTATAAATCTGTAGAAAACGAAATATGCACAATTCTCAAACTTGTCAAAAATAAAACATTAGTAGCTTTTAGTAGGTACATAGCAATCAGTAAAAAAGCTGAAAGATTAATACAAATCAATTTGAGTTCATTTAGCACCAAAAAGGTAAAATATATAAAGTATGTTTTCAATGAAGTTGGTGGATTTTTATCTCTTATTTTCAACTTTTCTTTTGCTTCAGTTCAGTTATGTTGATATATCAAGATGATTACAGCAGCAAGTCCCAAATTCTTTCAAGATGTTTAATAAATCAAATAGTCACTACCACAGGTTTCTCTGTAGCCAGTGAAGCAGATTATAAAGACATCATATTGCCAACCAAACTGCTAGCATGGATTAATTAGATTCATGAAACAACAAGAAAAGATTGAAAATGACAGGTATCTTACAACTGTTGACCTTCCGTACTTTTAGCACCAGTAAGCATTTCTTAAAAGTGTACGATACCTGCATTCAAAAACCAACTTTTTGAATCATTTGCTAAATATATATTTTTCTGAGCTTGTATTAGAGGTTCTCTCTCTAAAAACTCTCTAGAACTCCTCTCTACAATCTTCTCTCTCTTTGACTTAAGATTCATCATCCACTTATAACAGATAACCT